CGGCGACCGTCCTCGTCATTGAGTTCCAGGCCACAGTCCTGGGGAGGCAGGGAAGCCGGTGGGACCGAGGCAGAACAGACCCCGAGACCCACACCCCGAGAGTCGGCAGAGGGGCTCCGGTGTCCCCGCGGTCCCCACCAAGGGACATGCTGGAGCCGGGGAGACCTGAGTTCCCCGGGCTTTACGCGTGGCCACTGTAACAGCAGATGTGACTCGGTGGTGGGGACAGTGCTGATCTGGGGTGAATGGAGGGGGCGCCCAGCAAACGTCTCCATGCTCTTCTGCAGGCACCTGGGGTCCCCGGGCCACGAGTGCCACCCACGTCCTCGGCGCTGGCAGGGGGACCCGCCTGCACGTCACCCACACCCCGTCCTCCCACCTACCGGGGCACACGGTGGATCTAATCTCTCCCAGGAACCCACTCGGAGCACTGAAGCCCCACGGCGTCCTTCCCGGGGCCCGGGGCAGACAAGGGCAGGGGACCCACTCCTGTGCCCCACTGCCGGGTCAGGAGGGCACCTCCCACCACACACCTGCCTGGCGGCTCTCCCGACAGGACCCTCGCCCGCCTCGCCTCAGGACTCGCCAGTTCTGCTTGTTTGGGGGGTTTGCAGAGTGGGGACGGATCCCAGGGCCTGTGCTCTAAGCTATGTCCCCAGCTCTCCTGTCTTCATATTGAGACGAGGCCTTGCCAAGTCCCTCCGTTGCCCAGGACTTGAAGCCCCTCTGCCTCAGCCTCCCACGCTCCCAGGGCCTGGCTGCGGGAGGGCCTACCTCGCAGCGGTAGCATTCCACGTGGTAGTCTCTGTCCATGGACACCACGCGGATCGTCTCATCGGAGCCCTGGGATGGAAGGGAAGCGAGGTGGGCTGCAGAGGCCGGGGGGGGCCACAGGGAGGGGTTGGGAAGACGGGGAGACAGGCAGGTGGTCAGGAGGGGATGTGGGTCAGGTGTGGGTACCCAAAGGTGCAGGGAACGGAAGGGTGAGGCCGTGAGAGGGGCAGGGGACCTCCGGGATGCCTGCCAGCACCGAGAAGAGGACCGACTGGGACATCTGTTCTTAAAAACTGTCACTGGGCTGGGCGTGGTGGCACAGGGCTCTAATCCCAGCACTAGGGAGGCCGTGAGGCAGGAGGATCACTATGAGTTCAAGGCCAGCCTGGACTACACAGTGAGAGAGACCCTGTCTCAGAAACAAAACAAAAAGTAAAAGAAATAATAAAGAAAAAGAAAAAATTAGTAAAAGACAAGCTCTTTCTACTCCCCTGCTAATCTAAGAGAGTCTGACCTGCTGAGAGGGACAGCAGGGCAGGGGCTGGGAAGCTGGCTGGTGACACCAGGGGTCTCACAGATGGACCAGAGCGAGGTGTGCTCAAGGGTGACAGCAGAAGGGAGGAGGCCAGGATGGGGCAGGTGTGCCAGGCATCTCACCTCGGGTGGGAGGATGGGGAGCCGGCAGGCCGCACACTTCGGGGCTAGCACCCTGCACAGAAAGAGGAAGCAGACAGACACTAGCGGCGTGCTGTGTCCACCCCACAGCCACCCGGCCAGCGCCCTCCCACCTGCGCCCAGGCCAGGGCTGAGCCTCTCTGGGTCTGTCTCTGTGTGCCTCTCTCCCCTTCCCTCCCCTCCCACTGCCTGTTCCCCTTCCCCTGCTCCCTCAGCAGAAAACCCTACAGTGCAGAGGCTCTGGGCTTGTTCCCAGCTGGAGCTTCCTTTGTTCCCTTGGTGCTCCAGGGGTCTGGACCAACCCCAGTGAGGTCCAGAAATCGAGGGCCACGGGTTGCTGGATTCCTGCTGAGGCCTAAACAGGGCTCCAATAACCAGCTTTTGTTCTGTTCTTACATTAAATGTGACTTTAACTGGTTCCAACCTCTAGCAGCAGCAAGGTGCCATCCAAGACTGTGCTACAGCCCTCAAAGCCACTAAACCTTGGCTGACTGTGGCCATGTGGCGCAAAGCAGCTACCATCACACTGCCACTGTGTCCACCCTCCAGCCCAGTGAGGTCAGTGTGGGCCTTGCATGCGTGGGGTTCCTGTCACCCCCCCTTACTTGTGGTAATCTCGGACACAGTAGATCTTGTTCTCTGGGTCCACGGTGAAGGGGACCCCATCCAGACACTCGTTACAGATGACACAGCGGAAACAGCCGGGGTGGTAGGACTTCCCCAGGGCCTGCAGGATCTGCGGCGTAAAGGAAGAGAGGCTAAAAATCAGCAGGGGCTATGAGAAAGGGAGGGATGGTGGGAGAAGGGAGCGTGGAGTCCCAACGTGGAGCAGGCTCCTCCCAACATTCTGCCTGGACACAGACCAGTCTGGGTAGCTGTGTGGACAGGTGGGACAGCGGTCCTCTTCCTGCAGCCTCCTGGGTCGCTGAGCTGGGAGGGAATTAAGAGGGCTCCTTTCCAGAATCCCACTCCCAGAGGAGGAGCTCTGCCCCAGAAAAAAATGCAACAGCTGGCCATGGTGATGCACACATCTATGATCCCAGCACCTGGGAGGCTGAGGCAGGAGGACTGCTCGGAGTTTGAGGCCAGCCTGGGCTACATGGTGAGTGCAAGGCCAGCTCTGACTACACAGCAAGATCCTGCCCCACTACAAACAGAACAGATATGCTAAATCCACAGGAGAAGCAGGATGCTGGGTAAATGAGGATAAGGGAGGGTCCACCACCAGGTCCTCCCAGCACAGTCTGACCCGGAGTGGATACTCCTAGCCCCATCCTGAAACCAGGGCAGCACGAGGAGGAGGACATCCTAGGGAGGGTAAGGCGGGAAGGAAGAAATAAAAACAGGAAGGAGACAAGAAACTGAAATTAAAAACCAACCAACCAACCCTGCAGCTTCAAAACTCAATCAAAAGCTGGGGGTTTAGCTCAGCCGCACAGGGCCTGCCTGGCAAGTGAGAGGTCCTGAGTTCGATTCCCAGTACCAAAAAAAAAAAAAAAAATCAAAGCCAGCCAAGGTCACAATGCCCTTTTCACCCAACACTGTTTCTTCAATACTCCTCACTCCTAAATTCTTAGGAGTCTTAAAGATCCAATACCGTACAGTCATACATTGGACTGTGTATCTTCCAATACTAAAAACCCACAAATTGGAAAGATTTCCACCCACAAAGAAACAGCAGTATCAACTGGGTACCCGGCCCCAAACTCCCAGCCCACGGCCTGCAGGCTCACCTCATTGACAAAGCCAGTGTTTGCTTAGCCCAATGAGCAACCTGACCTTACAGAAGCAGACGGGGGTACATAGTAGCTCTCGTCACCATGCTGACGACATCCCAGATACCGCACCCCTGCGCCCCTCTCTGCACAGGCCCTTCTGAATCTGCCCAATAAACACACCTGCCTGTGCCTCCCCAGGTCAGTGGAGAACGCTTCTGGGCCAGTTGTGGTGCCCATCTCCTTGCGGGGACTCCTCAGACACCCCCAGAGTCAGTGAGTAACCGAATTAGCTCGACAGGGAACTGCCCACCTCCAAACCTCCTGTGAGGGGAGACACGGTTCCCACTCCTGTGAAATCAGTGGTTCTCGAAGTGCGGCCCCTGGACCTGGGAGAAACACACACTGCCAGGCCCCATCCCAGTCTTCCCGAGTCAGAACTCCTGAGAAGGTCCAGCACATGGGTGCTTTAATGAGGTCATTATGATGCATCGATACAAGCGGGAACCAGTCTTCGATTTTCTCTAATTTGTCCTAGGCAGCAACTTTGCTGACTCAATAGCAGATTTATCTCTGCAATTCCTTGTGCTTTGAAGCAGCAAAAAATAACCAAACTATGGAATCCCTGTGAGCTAATGAGCACCCAAACACTCACAGCCATGCAAGAGGCTTTGGACAAGCTGGGGATGGCGGTGCATGCCTGTAATCCCGACACTCAGTAGGCTGAGACAAGAGGGTTGCTAAATTTAAGGCCAGCCTAGGCTACATAGTGAGATCCTGTTTCAATCAACCTATCAAACAATTAAAAGAAGGGCGCTGTCACGCTCCCTCCACTGGAAGCCTCCACTGGTAACAACAGTGCACATGAGGCCAGGGAGGGGACCTCTGGGAGGCCTCAGGATCAGAAAGCTGCAGAGTTAGAACCACCGCCGGCTTCCAAAGCCCAGGGTGCACTTTGGGCCTTGGGAGACGGATCCTCCCAGACTCATGCTGCCTTAGCAGAAAGACAGCCTCGGAAAATGTAACCCACATGGTGCCAACTGAGGATGGAACAAGTTGCCACTCTGCTGCACCCAGCAGTACAGTAATTCTGGGATGTGGGAACGCACCCTCCTGGCTGGAGATCCAGCAAGGCAAACTGCCCGGACCATCGGGTATTAGCTGTCACTCACAGAGACCTGCCCATCACGGGGTCGCATACACGGAGGGCCGTGAGGGTCACCGGATATGACGTCAGAGGGAAGCTATTAAAGATGGCGGCCGACGGCTTCAGTGGCTACTGTTCCCTCACTTTTTTAGTGGTCCGCCCGCGCAAGGTGTATTTCCTCTTCTGTTTTCTTGAGGGGACTTCTTTAAAGCACTTCTTTTCTTCCTCTTTTCCCTTAATAAATGTTAAGCTTTTAAATTCATTACTTGTCCTGTTGAATTCTTTGAACAGGAGGCTGTGAAGCACCATCAGGCTCCTACCTGTCGAGTTAACACCTTGTTCCAGAACATGTCCTCTATTAAGAAGGGGGATGCAGAAAATTTATACCAAGACTTGGACAACTGGAGCTCTACTCTAGAGCTCATATGTCCATTATTGTATTAAAATTCTTGGCAGCAGTCACGGGTTCTGTCCTTAAAACTGGGAGTCACTACCAGATAGACATTCATGGAGAAGACCAAGGAGACTGCAGATTTGATTCCTCATCATCCCCTGTAGTAGATCTCCTGTCCCCAGCCACTTCCTGCCCTTCCTGGATGCACAGGCTTTCATATAGGAAGTGGGGGAGATTCCCTTCCCCTGACCCAGGCCTGCTCTCATCTGCAGAAGGAAGAAAAACAGATGTTCCAAGTCATCACTGAATCCAGGGCTCCAGAGGACCAGCAGCCTCTGCTTCCCTACCTCACTGTAAGGAAGGCCAATCTAGACTATAGAGGGATCAGAGGCCACAGGGGTGAGGTATCTCACAGGTCCTTGGTGCACTGTGCCACAAAGCAGAGTGAGTTACCTCAGCCAGAGCTTCCTTGACCCACACTCAGGAGGCTGAGGCAGGATGATCACCATGAGTTTGAGGCTAGCCTGGGCTACAGTGAGTTCAAGGCCAGGACTATATAATGAGACCCTGTTTAAAACAACAACAACAACAAAAAAAAAAACAAAACCAAAAGAAAGCAAAACAACAACAACAGTTCTTTTGTTTTCTTGGGTTTTTTTGTTTTTTGTTTTTTGTTTTTTGGTACCAGGGATTGAACTTGGGTCCTTGTGAGTGCAAGGCAGACCACCGAACCGCTGAGCTAAATCCCCGGCCCAGCAACAAGTTTTAAGAAAAAAAAGCAATCATCACCAGACCTCTTCTCCAGGATGGAATTAATGGGTCAGGAAGGGGAGGGATTTAATGCTTCCTGACTAAAATCATGTTTTATAATCACTTCCCATGACCACTATATGAACGAAATTCCTGCAGGCAGGTTTCCTGTAGTGAGCAGTTTGACACCCCTGTTCGTCAACGTCACAACCTGACTGTATAAGGAAACTGTCCGCAACAGAGAGACAAAGACACTGCGGCCCAGGGTACCTCAGCCAGGCAGTGGCCGAGCCAGAATGTGATGTGACACCACAGTCCCTGCACCATCTGAAAACTAAGAGACAGGCCTGAAGCTCATCTTAGGAATGGCGGGCGCTCGGAAGAACACGGGCGAAGCAACCACGTTTACCTGGCTGTGGGCTGCATTTGTCTCTCAGCAACGACACCCTGTTCTCCCCGCCTGAAAGCCGCGAGGAGTACAGGGAAATCGGAGAGGGGCCAGCTTGTGCCCAGCAGCCCATAGGGGAGAGCGTGGTCAGACCCACAGCATCGAGGGGTCTGGGCAGGTGAGGACACACACACACACAGCGACAGCCCTGAGTATGGGTTCCCTTAGCCACTCAGGACGCACTGCACGGGGACGTCTTTTCATGAAACCAGCTGCAACCACAAGTAAGAAGGAAACACTGCGCTGGGCTATTCACTTCCTCCTTCCCTGATGGCTCTTCCTCCCAGGACGCTGTGGTTTCACTCAGCTGATGCTACTCACCATGTCCATGATCAGATGTCCACAAAGAAAACACCTGTCGGCAGACTGCTGGAAGCCAGAGTACTGCAGAGGCAGAAAAGGAAAGTTAGACCCAGGCCGAGTAGAGATGACAAGGAACTCCTGAGAAAGACGGGTCACCCGGTGCAAGGACAGCGCCGAACCTCCTCCGGCCACAAAAGGTATTACGCATACTCATGCCACTTGCTCCAAACACAGCGGTGCTGGGGCACCCACGGAGTGCCAGGCTCTGTGTGAGACGCTGCACTTAAAGAAGCCAAGTTCCCTGGCATCACCTGGAATCTTGTGAGACCGGCAGACTCTTGAGCCCCGCAGCAGAGCTGCTGAACCGGAAACTCAGGTAGAGTCTGGCCGTCGAATTTTCACAGGCCCTCCAGGGGGCGCTCTGAAGAATGCTCAAGTTGGAGATCACCTCTGACATCTGAAAACACCTCTGCAGCGTGTTAGCTGTTATCCTGACGCGGCAGATGGAAGCAAGGAAAGCTCCTCTCGGAGGTTAAGTGATCTCCGAGGAGTGCCTCAGTCACACATCCAATTTCGGGGTAGGGACAGAACTGAAACTAAGTCTGGTTCTCATTCAAAAACTAATGCCATGCTGTGGGTGGAGCTCAATAGCAAAGCATGTGTTCAAACCCAGCGGCAATATAAAATGAAAAAGCTAATGTTTTCTATAGTTAGCTTCAAAAAAAGTGATAAACATCTACTTTATCAAACCGCACCCACACGCTCCTAAAGTCTTGAAAGACATGAAGAACTCTCTTAAAACATCCTGGAAACTGGGCACCGTGACACACGCCTGTCATCCCACACCCTGGGAGGGTGAGGCAGAAAGATCAAAAGTTTGAGCCCTAGTGAGACTGTTTCACAAATTTAAAAAAGGCGGGGGAGCTGAGGATGTAATTCAGCGTAAAGACCCTGGATCAATCCCCATTGTGAAAAAAGGGATGTGAGGGACAGAGGGGGAGGAAGTGGGAGGGGAAGGGAAGAGGGGGCAGAATAAAGCCTGCTGGATTCTACACACTTGGTGGATATCTGAAGCTCATGTACTAGAAACGCAACTTAACAGTGAATGTACCGACTGTAGAGGCAGGAAACGGGAAAATCGGGTCCTTTTCTGCAACTTTATGCCGAAGGAGAGAGATCAGCTGCGCGTGCTCAAAGTTTAATTCCGCCTGGGATCCTGCCCCACCCCCAAGTGAGGCTCCTGTAGCTCAGGTGGGGTGGGCCCTGGCTCAAACCAGGCCAATCAGAGTCCTGCATTCCACCAACACCAATGACTTTGGCCCCAGGTGGGCATGTGACCCACAAATGGCCAATGGGTGTCAGGGAGCCATCTTCAGGCGGCAAAGGAGGGCTGGGCACGAGCACACCTGTGAGACCAGGCCAGCACTGCCGAACCAGTTTGGGTCTGGTGTCTGTTATTAGCAAGCAGGAGTCATGATGAGCCACTTCCTCCCCCGAAGGGAGCTCAGCCAATGGGAGACAGACTTGGAGATAGACAGGGGAGGGCAGGAAGGCGCGGGAAGCAGGGCGACGGCCGGAGCTGAGGCAGGGGCCCAGGCCGTGCGGGCCGGACCCGGGGAGCTGCCCAGTGCCCTGGACCTCACACTCACCAGGAAGTCCTCCTCACAGAACACTTTGCCATTGACGAAATAGAAGGCTTTTCCTCTCAGTCTCCGGCCTAAGGAAAGAACACAAAGACAGGGTAAAAAGAAAAACGTTAACACAGTGAGAAGAGGGGAAAGGCTGGAGCCAGCCCGGAGCCCTGCGCTGCGGATCTAGGGCTGCTTCCGGTTGTTCCCGGAACTTCGTCCTCAGGAGACGCTTCATTCTTTGGAGATGTTATTATCATCTCAAGTCAGCTTCACACCAGAGCACTGTGCAGGGATCTAAAGTGTGTACTCAAGACTGTACTGGGAAATGCAGCCAACGATCAGACGGGGCCACACGGGACACCAACAAATCAGTAGGAAAATGGTCAGTAACCCAATGAGAACATGAGCCAAGGACCGGAAGGGGAAGTTCATGTTAGAAGCTTGGGCCATAACTAGGGCTGTTAATAACAATCTAGTAACCGTAACATAGTGAAAGACACCAGTCCACCAGCCGACACAAATGGAAACCACCGTGCGATTCCACCTTGCTCTGAGGACTGGCTATAAAACCACTATATTTAACAAAACGTGTCTGGAGACTGCGGGTGGGAGGGTCCATTGGGATGACCGCCTGGGAACGCTATCAGTGTCACTAGAGCTACAGAGCCACATGAACCCCAGCACGGCGCCGGGGTTGCCCTTCAGAAGATCCACAAATGTGCCTAAGGGGCCCATGCTGATGTCAGGGCAACACTGTTTTCACAGAACCGGGAGCATCTTCAATATTCCCCACAATATAACATTGGATGATACACAGAAGAAAACTGGAATTATACTCAGTGGATGAGGTATTACACAACAGTATTTAAACAGGAAAGCATGTGATCTATACATGTCTTGTTTAGTTTGTTTGGTTTTTAGAGACAGGGTCTCACTATGCAGTTCAGGCTGGCCTTGAACTCACTATGTAGCCCAGGCTGGCCTGGAACTCCTGGTGATCCTCCTGCCTCAGCCTCCCGAGGGCTGGGATTATAGGCCTGTGCCACCACATCTGGCCATCGATAGAGCCACACTCCAAGTTCATTACAGCAGCTGCCCTAGGGAAGGAAGAAGCAAGATGAGGAGAACCAAGATGATTCTTAGTGATCAATCACATTCTATTATTTCCTTTATTAAAAATACACAGACCAGGCTGGGGATTTGGCTCAGTGGTTCCACCACCACCTCACAAGCACAAGATCCCGAGTTCAATCCTCAGTACAATAAAAACAAAAACAAACAACAAAAAGAAACCTGAAAAACTATACAGAACCAAAATAAAATATATGCCTGTGCATTCTAGGTGATAGGTAAATAAGTCTTATTTTCCACATGTAAAACACACAGAGACAGACACACGTACCTCTATCTTCAGATGAAACACTATAAACCAAAGCCAATAACAAACTTGAGAAAACAGCCAGGCATGGTGGTACACACCTGTAATCCCAGCACTAGGGAGGCAGAGGCAGGAGGATCACTGTGATTTCGAGGCCAGCCTGGGCTACATAGTGAGACCCTGTCTCAAAAGAAAGAAAAAGAAAAAAAAAAAACCTAGTGAAAACATCTGTGCTACATGACATAAAAAGATGACCCCAATATACAAATAATAACAGCTCTCTATGAAATAGAAGTAAAGAATGGGAAAAGACCAGACAGCCAACCAAGGTAGTGTACACCTTTAATCCCAGTGCTCTTAGGGGCAGGCTGAGGCAGGAGAATCTCAAGTTCTAGCCTAGCAAGTTCTAGCAATTTAGTGAGTCCCTGTCTCAAAACATTTTTAAAAAAAAAGGCTGGGGATGTACAGTAGTTCCATTAGAAAGCCCTGGGTTCAATCCCCAGTACCACAAAAGTAAGTAAATAAATAATGGGGAAAACAAACAACAAAGGAAGTATGAAAGACCAGTACCTGTAAAAGGAAACCTCTAGCTTTCCCCATATTTAAAAGACTATAAATTATAATAGGTGCTGGGGTTGCAGCTCCATGACAGAGCATGTGTGAGACCTTGGGTTCAACCCCCAGCGCTGCAGAAAATAAATAATAATATTATGCTATGCTTTACTGTCAGACTGGCAAAGGCCGAACAGTGACACTCAGGTTTGGTAGCAACACAAATGGACTCTCAAGCTCTTTGGAGTTTAGACACTGGACCAAATTTTTAGGAAAGAAATTTGGTATTAAATATAGTTTTGATTTTTTGGGGGCCCAAAAAGTTCTGCTACAGTAATTCATAGATAAATCATCAAAGTTAGACTGTCTAGAAGATCCTCATCTCAGCAATACATATAGTGTCTTATCAAGAATGAATGTGAACCAAATGTCCAATTCTTATGAAATAAATGATGGCATGTACACAGGTTGGAATATTATGCAGCCATAAAAAATCACGTCTTCCAATAATGATTTAATGACATGGAAACATGTAAAGTAGTTTAGGAGTCTTCCACGTACTATGTGTGCTTGTGTGTGAATACAGTTATGACTACACCTACTCAATTATGTGTACACTCACACATCAGATGTGCATCAAATGTTAATGGTCATTATCCGAGTGCAAGAAACAGGTGATTTTTAATTAGTCCTTTTCTGCAACGACTGCGTCAATTTTATAATAGCAGAGTGGGGAGGCATGGCAAGCCCTTGGGGACAACTCTGAAGCTCTCCGAAGCTGTTCCTCCCTCAAAGCTAAGGTCACCCTCACTTCAGGAAGGTTCCCAAGTCCTCCAAGCCTCACTGGTATTTCCTGACCGCCAACCTAGGCTGACAAGAGTGTCCTCGGCCAAGTGACTTCTGGGTTCACCCACAGAAAGCCCCGGACGGCCATGAAATTAGCTGGAACTACTTGTTTAAGCCTTCCTCTCTCTCCAAGGACTGAGCAGGCTCAGCACTTGGGAAAAGGGTATGCTAGAGTTTCTCTTCCGCCTTTTGCTCCGTCAGACACCTGGGTGGGAGATCTGCTGCCCTCGGTCCTGCCAGGAGCGACGTGACAGGGACATATTCAGCCCCCTTTGCGAACTGCTGCACAACCAGGAAGGAAACCAGGAAGCCAGTCATTGTCTGACCACAAATAAATCCAGGTCCGTTGGAGCTGAGGCTCTGGCCCTTCCTGGAGGGCACGGGCTGCAGTTCCGGAGAGGGCCACTAGAGGGAGCGAGGGGGCCCGCGGGAGACAGGACTTCCGGGGCGGGGCCTCCTCCTCGCCCAGCTGCACAACACTCTGGGCGCGGCCCAGCAATCCGTGCTGCGTCCTGCCTCTGGGCCAGAAACCACAGAGGAAGATCGCCACGGCTAACAGGGTTTTAACAAATACAAATCCACAAGAGCTCTGACATCTGTGAGGGCGACAGGGACGCGGAGGCCTGGGCGGCTGACACTGTGCTGTCCTAAGCTACGGGTGAGGGTGGAAAGCACTCAGCTCTGACTCACGGGGCCATCCCGGACCCAGCTTTGCCAAACAGTGACCAGTGCAGTAAATATTTACTCTGCTCCACACTGGAGAGGAACGAGCACAGAACACGGTGCCCATCTCAACTATGAAGTGTCACACGGCCACTTAACAGGCCACTTGGGCAGTTCCCGGGACACCGGAAGATGCTCACGCCGCAGAAGGGGCTCAGGGTCATTCCAGTGCGCTCACAGGAGATGCTGACATAGCAATGAACACACCAAAAGGTCGCCGTCAACTCGCGCTCAATCCCACTTTCGGTCACTACTTCCATACTCTAAACTTTAGCTGGGGGGGGGGGGGTATGTGAGAGAAACAAATCTCACTTCCGTGTGCGCACGCGCACGTGTGTGTGTGTGTTACCGGATCGAATCTAGGAACTTCTTAGTGATGTCCCAGGCACTTTTGAGACAGGGGCTTGCTAAATTGCCCAAGCTGAGCTCAAACGTGTGATCCCCCTGCCTCAGCCTCCTGGCGTGCCAGGATTACAGGCCCATGCCACTTTGCCTGGCTGAAATTGTACCTTTTTTTTTTTTACTTCATTTTTATATTCCATTTTTCTAGAATGATGTGTAACATGAAAAAGCTATTTTAAATATAAAATCTTATACTATGAAAAGAAAAACACTTCAGAAATGTGTGTCTCACATACATGAAGAGGAAGTCTGTTGCTGAGGCCACTGAGCCTGCACATGATGGAGAAGTTTGTACGCTGTTTGCTTCTTCTACCTTCCTCGCCCTTCCCTAACTATCTGCTGATGAGCAAGTTCTGAGCTTTGTTTTATTTATTTGGGTTTTTCGGTCTTTCTTTCTTTCTTTCTTTTGAGACAGGGTCTTGCTATGTAGCCGGGGCTGGCCTGGAACTTTAAGTGCTCTTCCCAAGTTAGCCTCCTGAGTGCTGGGATCACAGGCATGCGTCACCCAGCCTGGCTTGAGTTTCACTTCAGAACTCACCCAGCTGGCTACAGGCACCTCCCTGCCCAGGGAGCTGGGTACCTGACCCCTTGTCCAGACACTAGAGGCTGGGGAGGGGCCCAGCAGCTGCATCTGACTCCTTATTACCCAAAATTCAAAACCTGAGGGCCCTCCCCACAGATGCGCAGGCCCTTGAGGGTGGAACTGAGTCACTCTTAATGCCTCAAACTGCAGTTTCCTCTCCTGGTTTGAAAACCACCGGAGCTCAGACACCGCACATGGCGTTCAGCGGGTTGGCACAGTGTCAGAGTAAGGCAGAAGGACAGACTCCTGCTGACGGCTTCCATGTTCCGGGCACCATGTGTGGGGCTCTCGAGTGTTTCTGAAAATTATTTAAAACCTTGATGTGTTGTGCACGACAGCCCCACCCCCTGTCCCTGCACTGCCACCTGCCCTCGGCAGGAAGTCGACACTGGCACTTCCTCCTCCAAGTCGCCCACTCTAGGTGTCAGAGAAAGGCGAGGGTGCCCCGCACCGTGAGGCAGAAGTGAAGACGCCACTTGTGTCTGGAGCAAGGACGGGCAGAACGCATGCTCTCAGCCGGGCGAGGTGGCTCACAGTGCATTGTCAGCCCCAACGTGACGACTTCACAAGAGCGTGGGTCCTGCACCCTGACATGTGCTTGA